TCCCTCCCTCCCCTCCACCCCCCAGCGTTCCACTCTCTCTAAAATTAGTCAATGGAAAAAATGTCCTTTTGTGAGGATTAAGCAAAAAAAAAAAGAAAAAGGATGGTAAATGTTATGCTATATATATATTTACCATAATTTAAAATTTCTTTTGAGCATTGCTATAAAGATAGTTTTCAAATTTATTTGTATAATTCTTATAAAGGGATTATTATAAACAGTAGGCAGACAGTCTCAGTTAAAACAGGCCAAGGGAAGTTTTGCAGAGAGTCACATGCATGTGACCCTTTTGAATTAAGTAATTGGTGTTTCATTCATCTCTGTTCACAACTCTGGTTTGCCAGGCACTGCTTTTAGGCACTGCAGATAAAGCAATGAACAAAACAGGCAAACATCCCTGCTTCTTTGGAACTTAATATTCTAGTGGTGGTAGAAAGACTATAAATAAGATAAATAAAATATATGGTATGTGACATAGTGGTGAAAATCAAGGAGAAAAAGCAAGGAGGGGGAATAGGGTGTTGCAGTTTAGGTAGGATGGCCAGGGAAGGCCTTACAGAGAAAGCAACATTTGAAGAACTGCTGAAGAGGAGCTAAGCTCTGCTGAGACCTGGGTGAGAAGTAGAGCAGGCACAGGAGCCCCAGGCCTGGAGGCTGTCTGCTTGGAGGGCCTGAGATTGAGCAAGTCCAGAGCTGCTATAGCTGGTCCTTGAATAGTGTCGTTTCATTATAAGGTTGATGCTGTAGGAACTTAACTCTTATATCAGTTAGCCTGGTAAAATTGTTATTATACATCATTTCGCCAAAGTTGCAGAATCTATCAAGGATGTTAAGTGAGGACTTGCTGTAAGCTGGAGCAGAGTAAGTGGGGAGAATTGTAGGGGGTGAAATCAGAGATATGATGAAGGGTGCCAGGTGCAGATTTCATTAGGCCTTAATAGTTTCTGTAAGCACTCGGGCTTTTTCTCTGAGTGCAATGGGGAGCCCTTGCAGGGCTCTGATTGAAGGGGTGGCCTAATCCTTTATCTTAGTGTTGGGGAAAGCCCCAAAAGTCTAAATTCAGGATTGACTCTGAAGAGCTGACATGTAGCTTTACTCAAATTTATAAGAGCTTTAATAGAGAAACTTACATACATGAGTAAGGCAGCTGCTCCCAGTGGTTGCAGTCAGGAAGAATCCACCCCCTTCCAGGACAGAGTCTCTTTTTTTATAGGGGGTTACAAGTAAAACCATATGGTGGGTAATCATGTAAACCACCGAAAAGAACAATGCATTTCTAAGTTAACAGATAACACCATGCAGTTATTACACTCTATACATTCATTAACTTCCTTCCTGGGGGCTTGACATTTATCTTTGGGTGGCATTTGGCTTTCTGGGTAGTCAGCCATGCTTGAGGCTACAGAGGGTTAAACAGAGTCCAACATTTCCCAGAGGCCTCTGCTGCTGGAGCCATATTACACTTCTTAATTCCCCAACATTTAGCTCACTCTGCTCTAGACTTACGAATAGACTGAGGGGGTGGGGAACTATGGGCCCAGTCAGGAACACCAACGGGGATTGTTGCAGTAATTCAGACCAGAGGTGAGATGATAGTGGCTTAGACTGGGGGACTGGCATTGGAGGGGTTGAGAAGTGGTTGGGATTTATTGATGAACTGGATAGGGGGGGTGTGACAGCAAGAAAGGAGTTAGGAATGGCTTCCCAGTTTAGTGTGGGTTTTTTTTTCTTCTTAATGTGAGAATTTCCATTTGTTACGAAAGTCCACAAGAAGACAACACATATTGCTCAGGGCCATGGACCTTAGGAGCTCAGATGCAGAGAAGGTGAGTTTGAAATGCCAATGAACATCAGGTGAAGATGTTCAGGAGAAGTCAGGTTGGAGCTAGAAGTTTAGGGTCATCAGAATGTGTGGTGAAGACTTGGGCTGGGAGAGATGAAACAAAGTGAAGAGGTCCAAATACTGAGCCAGAGTGAGAAACTGGGGGGCAAGGAGAACAAACAGCCAGGAAGTAGGAAGGAAAGGACACCCATGTGGTGTTCTGAGAGCCAAGTTGAGAAAGGCCCTAAAGGAGGAGAATGTGGCCAACAGGTGGCAAAGGATGCTGCTCAGTAAGTTGATGACTGAAGGTTGGTCATTGGATTTACCAAGTAGAGGTGTGTCGAAGATAAAGGCCTGACTGAATAAGAGAGAATGGGGAGAAGTTTCAGACAGAATATGAGAGCTGTGTGGAAAAATTTTGCAGTAAATGTAAAGAAAAGGGATAGAGGCTGTAGAGGAAGTTGTTTTCCTGTTTCTAAGTTGGAAATTAACAAGTATTTGTGTATTGGTAGAATTGGTTCAGTAGAGAGGAAAATTATGCAGGAGAAAGTAGTTGGCGCAGTGTTCATGAGGGGAGATGGGACTTAGGGAATGAATGAATGGAGGGGGGCTGGCCTTGGCCAGGAGCATGGGCAGTTCAAGTCCAATAACAGAAGGTCTAAGGTCTGGACCCAGGGCTAAGTGTGTGGTGCCACTTGGTAGGAAGTGCCCTCCTGGTGCTTTAACTTTCTCAGTGAAGTGGGAAGCATGGTACTCTGCCGACAGTGAAGACGGAGAACATGCGAGAAAGTGTGAAATAGTTGTCTAAGAGGGAGGAAAGCCAAAGGACTGGGAAGTGTAGTCTGAATCCTGGGCTGCATTGGGAGCCCATATAGGTTAGAGATCATTTCCAGTGAGAATGGCTTGCATTTTTTTGTTTGTTTGTCTTTTTGAGTATTGGTTGGTGGAGAGTTTTAGGAGAGGTATGGTTATCAGGGGGAAAACCACAGAGGGGAGAAAGGGGCTTGGAAGTTGATAGTATGTATTGACCCATGAACTTAATCTGCTTAAGAATGGCATAGGCTACAGGGTTGTAAGGAACGTTGAACACATGGATCAATGACTTGTAGGACCCTGTAGGCTGTAAGCATTGTTGGAGTTAGGATATTAGAGGAATGAACTGACGGATAAGCTATGATAGTCAAAAAGTAGAATTCTCCCTTCTTCCTCAAACATTTCATTATGGAAGCTTCACCAGAGAGAGGCATTTGAAAGAACTGTCCATTGAACACCTGAATACTTGCCTAGATTGAACCACTGTTAACATTTTGCCATGTTGTGTATATGTACTTTGTTAGACCATTTGGAGGTAGTTGCAGAAATCATGGCATCTCACCCATAAATACTTGAACACTAAATGGCATTGGCTTTTTGAATAGACCAGGCCAATTATTTTATAGAATGCTTCTCATTCTGGATTCAAGTGCTTTGAAATTGAAGTTATTGATCATTGCTAATAGTGATAATGGCTAGTTCTAGAGTTTGCCCATGGGAGTGCACGGCTGAGATTGGAGGAAGAGTAGATCAGGAAGCCGAAGCTAGGCATTGGAGAATCATCTGGCAAGGAGGGCTAGATGGTGGGTGAGTACGCCACCATGAGACTTGGAGCTGGGTGGGGGTGGGTAGGGAGGAAAGAAAGAGATTTGGTTGGAAGCAGTGATGGGGAGCAAGGAGGACACCTACCTTACCTCTAAATGTAGGGTTGTGAGCTCTGAGGGTGAGAAACCTCCATCCCTTCGAGGGACAGTGGTGAGCATTCTTCTCAGTGGGAGCTAGGGTTCAGTTAGGGCAAGACAGTGGGGGGAAGCATTCACCAGGGAGGCTGAGATAAGGGAGTTCTGCCGATGGCAACCATGAGTTCCTGCCCTCTCCTCTGGCTCTAGTAACAGTTACAGAAGACTGTTTCTTTTTACATTGTCTGTTATTCCCTTAACTTGAGGAATGAATATATTTCCAGAGGTAGTGTGTGTGGGTATGTGTGTGTTGTTCACTCTGATCTCTAGTGATAAATGAAAATAATGTAAGTGAACAAACTTAAAACATTCTCATTGCAAGCTGAGTTCTGTTAGTTTGATTTATTGTACTAATATGTAGGCTAATACTAATTTTATATTCAATTATCTATCTCCTATGTAGAATTCATCAGTTCAAATTCAGAAGAGTCAAAATTCTTCAGGAACCCAGCTAGAAATATATAAGAAAAATAATTTGCCCACACAAGGTAAGAAGATGCATGATCTTTTAAGAAGACATTTCAGGAATTTAAAGAATAGAGAATTTATATCTAACTTAATAAATAAAACACTGTAATTTTAATTGAAGCCCCTGTGTATCCCACTCCCCCACTTAATTTCCATCCTGACAGTATTCCTGTCCTGGTTTCTCATTCTTTTACTATATTGTGCCCATAAATTAATATAGTATTGTTTACAGACTTTATGTATCCCTCTGCAATTTGCTTTTTTCTCTCCATATTTTAAGACTTACCACATTAACACATATAAACTCTAGTTTATTGATTTTAATAGCTATACAGAATCCATGTGTATTTGCCAGTCAAGTTTCTCTGCTGATGGGCATTCAGGTTTTCTCCCAGTTTGTCAGTAGCATGAATAGGGCTGCACAAAGTCTTTTTTATTTATTTATTTTTTAATTTTTAATTTTTATTTTTGTTTAAAATATTACAGATGTCCCTTCCCCCCCCAATGACCCGTTCCACCCCGTCCAACCGCCCTCCCCAGTCCCTCTCCCCACCATTGTCCGTGCCCTTGGGTTGTGCATATGTGCATATAAATTCTTTGGTTACTTTCTCCCCCTCCACCCACCTGCCCTCCTCCCTCTGACATTTGCAGGCTGATCCATGCTTCCATGTCATTGAATCTATTCTGTTCATCAGTTTATTAAGTTCTTTAGAGTGCATGTATATGCGAGATCATGTGATATTTGTCTTTCTCTGCCTGGTTTATTTCACTTAGCATAATTTTCTCCAGGTCCATCCATACTGTCGCAAAGGGTAAGAGATTCTTTCTCTTTACAGCTGCGTAGTATTCCATGGTGTATATGTTCCACAGCTTTTTTATCCACTCATCTACTGATGGGCACTTGGGCTGTTTCCAGGTTTTAGCTATTGTAAACTGTGCTGCTATGAACATCGGGGTACATATATTCTTTCTGATGAATGTTTCAGGATTCTTAGGATACATTCCTAGGAGTTGAATCACTGGGTCAAACAGCANTGTACTAGGGTTCCCCCTTCCCCTCGCCAGCACATGTCATTTGTTGATTTGTTGATGGCAGCCATTCTGACAGGTGTGAAGTGATATCTCATTGTGGTTTTAATTTGCATCTCTCTGATGATTAGTGATGTTGAGCATTTTCTCATATGTCTCTTGGCCATCCGTATGTCCTCTTTGGAGAAGTGTCTCTTCAGGTCCTTTGCCCATTTGTCAATTGGATTGTTTGCCTTCTGCTTGCTGAATAGTATGAGTTCTTTGTACACTTTGGAAATTAGCCCCTTATCAGATACATCCTTGGCAAATAAATTTTCCTAGACCGTGGTTTTCCTTTGTATTTTGAGGCTTACTGTAAGTAATGCTGCTGTGAACATAGGGGTGCATGTATTCTTTCTGATTGGTGTTTCAGGATTATTTGGATATATTCCTAGAAGTGGGCTCGCTGGGTCAAAAGGAAGTTCCATTTTTAATTTTTTCTGGAATCTCCATACTGTTTTACACAGTGCCTGCACCAGTCTGCATTCCTGCCCACAGTGCACCAGAATTTTCTTTTCCACATCCTCAACAACACTTGTTGTTTGTTGGTTTATTGGTGGTAGCCATTTTGGTAGGTGTGAGGTGATACCTCATTGTTGTTTTAATTTGCATCTGATAATTAGTGACATTGAGCATTTTTTCATATACCTGTTGGCCATCTGTATGTCCTCTTTGGAGTAGTGTGTAATTCAGGCCCATTTTTAAATTGGTTTGTCTTCCTGGTGTTGAGTTGTAAAGTTCTTTATATATTTTGGTGATTAACCCCTTATCAGATGTATCACCGGCAAATATGTTCTCCCATATGGTGGGCTCTCTTTTCTTTCTATGACTTTGCCTCTACATTCCTTTTGCCCACTTAAAACTTTGGGGTGGGGTGGGGTGTTTATATTTCTTTTTATTTAAGTCAGTTAGTCTGTGTTCTTATCTTTTGTCAGTTATAAGCACTGCCAATATCATCTTGCTGTCTGGGTTTAGCTTTTCAGTTTGTGTTTTTCATATGCATGTTTTTCTTTTAATATTGTATTTATCAATCTTTTTTGATGACTTTAAGAAATCCTCAATTTTCAGTCACAAATATACCATTTTCTCCTATGAACGTTTGTTTTCACAACCGGGTCTTTAACCTGCCTAGGAGTTTTTGAACTTATTTTTGTGAATTAAATTTAGAAAAGTGGATATAGCATATGCAGTTTGACAATTATAAAGGAAAAACTTCGATAACAGCTAGCTAAATCAAGAAATATATTAGAGGACTGAAAACTGTCCCCTCCATGATCATATCACATTACTTTTCCTTGTAGTTTCTACTCCCATAGGTACATCCCCAGAAAAATGTTTTACTTGTTTTTGAGCTATCTGAACAGTCTCCTACCGGGTGTATTCCATTGTCATTTTCACTATATGTTGCTTTTGAGAGTCAGTCATATTGATCTGCAGCTCATGAATTTTCACTGCCAGGTGGCATTCCATTTATCGAATATATTACAATTTACTATTTACTATTTTCTGTTGATAGGTGATTTTTTTAAGTTGCAGGATGTTACCCAGTAGTGCTGTGAGCATTGTGATACATTTCTGGTACACACATTAAATTTCTCTAGGGCATATACCTAGCGCATTACCGGGTAATTGGTATGAATACTTTAAACGCTATTAGATTTTGTTGAATTATTTTTTGAGATGACTTTACTTTCTCACCAGCAATATAAGTGCTTGCTTTGCGCCACACTTTGTTAATACTTGCTATTGACAGACTTAAATTTTTGCCAATCTGGAGGGGATTAACAGTATCTCATCATAGTTTTGCATCACCCACATTAATAAATATGTTGACCTCCTTTTCCTGTGTTTATTCCTTCAACACTTACTTGTATTACAAATATTTTCTCCCATTCTAGGGTTTGTCTTTTTACAGTATCTTTTGTTGAACTGAAATTTTTATCTTTTTAAAATCGAAATATATTTGACATATAACATTGTATAAATTTAAGATGTACAGCATGTTGATTTGATACATTTATATATTATGATTACCAGAGTAGCAATAATTAGCATCTGTATCACCATGACATAATTATCATTTCTTTTTAGAGGTCAGAATAATTAAGATCTGGTCTCTTAGTAAGTTTGCGGATTATAATACAGTATTATTGTCTTTATTCACTATACTGTGCATTAGAACTCTAGGACTTATTTTACTACTTGTTGCTACTTTGTATCCTTCAATCACGTTTCTCCTATACCCCAATCTCCCAGTCCTTGGTAACCACCATTGCATTCTCTGTTTGTACTTATTTTTAAATTTACCTTTATTGTTGAAAGTATTACAGATGTCCCCTTTTCCCCCGCATTGACCTCCTCAACCCTACTCCCACCCCCTCCTCAGGCTTTCACTGTATTACTGTCTGTGTCCATGGGTTTTGCATATATGCATATAAGTTATTTGGTTAATTACTCTCCCGCCCGCCCTACCCTTCCCTCTGAAATACGTCAGTATGTTGCAAGCTTCAATGTCTCTGGATCTATTTTGTTCGTCAGCTTATTTTGTTCATTAGCTTCTTCTTGAAGTAGACCCTTTAACATTTCATGTAATACTGATTTGATGGTAGTGAATTCCTTTAGCTTTTTCTTCTCTGGGAAGCTCTTTGACCTTCAATTCTATCATTTATCTGACCTAAATGATAGCTTTGCTGGGTAATCTCAGTTGTAGGTCCTTGCTTTTCATTTTAAATAGTTCTTGCCACTCTCTTCTGGCCTGCAGTTTCTGTTGAAAAATCAGCTGAAAGTCGTATGGGTGCTCCCTTGTAGGTAACTAATTGCTTTTCTCTTGCTGCTTTTAAGATTCTCTCTTTGTCTTTAACCTTTGGCATTTTAATTATGATGTGTTTTGGTGTGGGCCTCTTTGGGTTCTTCTTGTTTGGGACACTCTGTGCTTCCTGGACTTGTAAGTCTATTTCTTTCATCAGTTGGGGGACGTTTCCTGTCATTATTTTTTCAAATAGGTTTTCAATATCTTGCTACTTCTCGTCTCCTTCCAGCATCCCCATTATTTGAATGTTGGTAAGCTTGAAATTGTCCCAGAGGCTTCTTACACTGTCTTCATAGTTTTGGATTCTTTTTTCCTTTTGCTGTTCTGATTGGGTGTTTTTTTCTTCCTCATATTCCAAATTGCTGATTTGGTTCTCTGCATCCTCTACCGTACTGTTGCTGCCCTGTGAATTATTCATTTCAGTTAGTGTATTCTTTATTTCTGACTGGTTCTTTTTTATGTCGATAATCTAACTAATTTCCCTAAAATTCTTACCAATACCTTGAAATTCTCATTAAGTTTCTTGAGCATCCTTATAACCATTGTCTTGAACTCTGTATCTAGTAGTTTGCTTGCTTCCATTTCATTTAGTTCTTTTTCTGGAGATTTCTCCTGTTCTTTCATTTGTGACATATTTCTGTGCTTCTGCATTTTAGCTGCTTCCCAGTGTTTGTTTCTATATATTAGGTAGAGCTGCTGTGTCTCCTGGAATTGGTAGAGTGGCTTTGTGTAGGTGTACTGTAGAGCCCAGTGGCTCAGCCTCCCCAGTTACCTGAGCTGGGTACTCTAGGTGCACCCCTGTGTGGGCTGTGTGCACTGTCCTGTTATAGTTGAGCCTTGGTTGCTGGTGGTGTCACTGGAATGAATTGACTTCCAGGACTATTGGCTGTGAGGACAAGCTGCAACTACAGTCAAAGAGCTGCTTTACTGGAAACACCCCTATGGAGCAGGATTTGCTTCAGTGGAGCTTTGGTGTTCACCGAGTGCGCCCCTTGAGTGTGTCACTTGTAGATGTGGTAGGGTTGTAACCTGTCGGGGTCGAAACTGACCACTGGGTGCACTGTCTCTGGGGCCTCCCGGGTGGTACAAATCAGCCTCTGCCTGTGCTCTGCTCAGGGCCACCCAGTGTGAGATATACAGCAA